TCTTTTCTTTTATTTCATTAAAAAACAACATTTTCTTTCTTTTTTCGCTTTTATTTTTTTTTTTTATATTTTGACCTAAATTGACAATCCTTTAAATTCTGGTGTTAGTTGTGTTAAAATAACGCAGCGTAAACTAAAGTTACTTTGTAATAAAAATTCTCTATAATATTATTGAGTTTGTATGTATAACAAATATGAACAGCAAAATATACATTGAGTTAATAGTTCAGATCAGAGCAGTATACTTAAGGAAAAATCAAAGTGAAAACTTAAAAAGTGTTGATGAAGTTCCGAAAAATATTCTTCAAAAAATTGTTTTTTAAACTTCATTTTCCTGTTTTAACACAGTAAAAAAAAAGCAAAGCAAAACTGTTATAACAGTGAACAAGTAAAAGAAGCAAAAAAATAAGAAAAAAGTAAAAAAAAACAACGAGATGATAAACTGTTATAACAAAAGAAAATTGTTAAAAGGAAAAACGTTTTTGTGTTCAGTTCACAAAACTATAAAAGAAAATTCACTGAAAAAAAAAATAATAAAAAACAAAAACAAACTTATAAAATTTTCCTCTTACCATCATTTTATTGAATTTTCGAAAAATAAGATAATAAAAAAAAAAAAAAAAAAATGCTTTTTAAGGAAAATATTAAGGTTTTTGTGGTTGAAATAATCAAAAAAAAAAAAGAAAAAATAAGCAAAATCAACGAGCAAAGAAATTAGCAAAAATTGAATTTATAACAAAAAAAAAAATAAAAAAGTGTTTAGATACAATAAAGGTAGATAATACTTTTTTTCCTCTGTTGGCGTATTAAAAAATGAAAAAAAAAAAAAATGAAAAGTTATTACAAGATTTTCTCTGATTTATTTTTGTGATAAAGGACAAAGGCATTAAGTGTATTTTAAATTTAATACCAAAATTTTTCTTAAATTATTTTAAATTTTTTTTAGTGAAAACCATTTTCATTTTCAATTAAATTAACACTTCCAATACCTCAATGGCAAGAGACAATATTAGTATGGATTTTGATGTATTTGTCAAAGATTTTGAAATTTCTTACAAATTAAAAATAAAAATAAATTTTTTATTAATGCAATTCTTATGCAATCATTCGCATTCATTAAAGGAATGTTTCAGCCACTATAACAATTCAAATGCAATAATCATTTAAATCATAATAGTAATGACTGTAGCCTCTGGTAAATTACGAAAATTGCATAATTTTATTGATATTTTTAACATTTAAATTAACAACGATATTTAGAACATATTCGCGTATTATTAAATATGTGGTTTGCACCAATTTTTATAAAAATAAGAGCTCATATGTAATATGTATATATTGGCTATTTATATAATCTTTGTGGATAATTTTTAATTCATTGACATTAATCAAAGGGATTTCCGTAATTTGAAATTTAATTAAATTAAAATTTTTATGACAAGGCCATTTATGTATTTAAGTTTTTCGTAACTACTTAACAAAAAAATCTGATGTGATCAGCACATAACCGACCGCAATGAGTGTTGTCTAGTTAAGTGAAAGTGTTACAAAATATTATAAAAATGTCTGTTAAATACTTCTTCCCAGTTTTTAGGACATTAGTAAGCTTATAGTTAACATACCTAGAAAAATATAAATTTGGCTCTTAGTAGAGTTTCACTTTGTACTACCCGAATTCCCTGAAATGCTCGTCAGTTAGTTTCGGTAACAACCAGAACTCAAATATTAAATTTCAAGAAATTCCATCAATTCGTTCCGTAGATTTGGTGAAAAATGTAAAATCGGCCCGCAGATCAGTTTTCGAGCCCTGATCTTTCCAAAAAATTTATATGTTCATTGTTTTAATACGAGGAATTCAAATATTGAATTTCAATGAAATCGATTGATTATGTCTCTTTATCTACGCAAAAATGTATATTTGGCCCATAGTAAACGTTCACTCGCTGAAGTAGACGACATTTCAAGAAAATCTGTTGAATGTTTTCTTCAAAATGATCAAAAATCTAAAACAGACCCGCTAAAGTGCAATTCCCGAGGCCTGATATATCCCAAAAGTTGATCAATCCGTGCCATAATCGAAATAAACTTACATATAAAATTTCATCAAAATCTGTTCAGCCGAACAGACATGCGTGCTCACACAGACTGACAGGTTGCTAAAAATAGTTTACTTATACTTCCCTACTATGGAAAAGTGCATTCCCACCAAAAACTCGATATGCAAAATTTGTTGCCATCACATAACCTACCTATTGTATACACAATACGGTCGGTATTTAACGGGACTTCAATGTGTTAATAATATATGTTTTTTTCATATATTCATTTAATCTTTCACAAAACCTTAATGAATACTTTCCCATAAATTTATATTTTGAATTTTGATGTATTTGTGCATACCATACATGCATACATCTAAGACTCAATGGAAATCCCGAAGCAGGATGATAAATTGACTTCAGACGAATAAAAAATATCTAGTGACATTAGAAGAACAAAATTAAAGTAATTAAAGCAATATTGATCAAAATAATTAATTAAAAACTTATTTATACAAATTTTTCTATTTCATATTCTTAATAATATTCTTAATATTATGAATTTTAAAATGCTTATTAAATTTACTCTTAATGAGTAAATTTACTAAGCATTTTGGTGATAAATAAAACATTTTTACTATAAGTACATTAGACCCTATTGATCCAAGAAATTTTCACTTATGTTTCAATCAACTTAAGGAACATAAAATTTACAAAGTTTATGTTGCATTATCAAATGAGCTTTATTTATACCTTAACCTGCATTAAAGAATAAATGGTGATTAAAGGAAAACTTTTTTAAAAATTTTTAATTTGCAGTTGAATATCTCAAAAACCAAAAAAATTTTAGAACCACTGTTATACTGAACCGCTGAGAAGGGGAATTTTATTGGATATAAAATGAGTATTCAAAACTTGCTTCAACTGATTTTCAGGTATTCCAACTTTAAGAACACTTCGAAAAGAGAGACAAAAAACTAAAGTGTTACTAGGCGGTTTCCAGCCCGGATACCCTGTATAGAAAAAAAATACAATGATTGAATTGAAAATAAGAAGCACTTAGAGTTGTATAAGTCGTCACGATTTCATGATTTTATTTAAGGATTAAAGTATTTCCTTGGTACAAATAACTCAAATTTAAAACTCAAATGAATTTTAAAATTTGTAATTCACAACAAATCTTGAAATTATTTTTAAACTAAATTTAATATTAGTTCGAAAAAATTATCTATTAATTTTATTCTGAAAATTCTTTGGAATAAAAACAAATTTTTATATTTCAATCAGATATAGAAGACATTAGAGAATTGCCAAATACAACAATAATAATAATAAATATGAGAGTATACAAAACAAAAGAAATCCTGTAAATCTTAATGTAAAAATAGGATTATGTTTTTTTTCACAAAAAAACTCTCGCGCATTTATAAAAACAAAAGCAACTATAATAAAGGTATCCATTCAGCGTTATTATGCGATCATAACCGAAATTCCGCCATTAGTTTCCTCTTTTTGCAACATTATTCCTTATAATAGCTTACCTACACTGTTCTCTTTTCATTGTTATGAAATTTACAGTAAAAATAAAAAAAAAACGAAATAAGGAAAAAAATAGAAATAAAAAATGGGACAACGTGCTTTTTATGCAATTTTAAATTATCACAATGGTTTTCCATCTGTACTCCCATGATACCTCCTTTGTTTTGTAAGAATGTGACTCTTTTCATCCGATTCCTATATAAATTATCCAAAGATTTAACAATACGTATATACTTATACGTAATACGGATGGGTAATAAAAGCTGTAAGAAATTCAATACTAAAACGAGTAAATAAAAAAAAACAAGAGGATAAAAACGAATTTTTTAAGTTTTGTACAAGTATTGAAAACTCATTAATGGCTTATTTAGTGTTACCAGAATTGAAGATTACAAATTTTCCTGTTACTTCCTATTTAATTAATTAGAGTAGGGTTTACAATACTTTCATTGAGTCACAAAATTCTTATGTCTTGATGATATACGGGCGGGTATAATAAAGACATAATTTTCCCTATTTTTTATAAAATCATCAAGGTGAAATAAGAACAAGCAGTAATAATATTACAAGTAAAACTTTTTTTTTTATTTTTCGAATCGAATTTATTATATTAAGTAAAGTATAAGTTTCAGCTTCCCAGCTCATTAATAAATTTTCTGTTTGTGTGAAATTTCCATTTCACATCTTTTTATAGCTTCTGAGTTACATATAGCCCAATAACTTTTCCAGTTGTATGTTAGCTACCAGAAATTTCAATGACTTTTATCAGACACATTGGCCCTACTAATATATTCGTTCTTGTGAAATTCTAATTTTACAGCTTTTATAGTTTCTGAGATATAGCCAAATAAAATTTGAAGTTGTATGGCAGCTACCCGAACAAGTACACCGATCATGTCCAATTTTAATAGGCTTCTGGCACTTACTGCAATAAATCATTTGTGAAAATTTGGTGAACTTGGCTGAAAATAGTTTTTGAGTTATCGCTGGAATGGACGGACGGACGCAGAGACGAACAGACAAAGCTAAATCAACTTAGAATTCGACGGTGGTCTAAAACATAGATTTGAGTCTACATCTCAGAGCATTATTCCTTAGCGTTACAAACGGTAAGGCAAATTTAGTATATTTAGTGTAAATTGTTATTACTATACAAGAATTATACACAATATAATCTTAGCTATGTTAACTATTTTATATATGTAAAATATTGCTACAGAATCCTTGTACGTATATATTAAACTAGAATCATAATTTTATTCATTAAAATTTGTCGATTTCCTTGAATATTTTTTAAATTAATAGAATCATTAACAATTTATTTATGTTCACTACACTACATTCAATATTTATATAATTATAGTAAATTTTTTATATAAGAAAAAAATTATTTAAAAAAATAAAATGAAGAAAAATACTTACAAAAAACATTTAATTTCATTATATTTTCCCGTATACCATGCTTAACTAATTCATTTGTAGCACGACATTTCAATTCCTTTTCATTATCCTGTCTTGTTGGTGTTAATGTTAGTGTTGATATACTGATATTACCATCTTCTGAAACCTATATTTAAAAAAAACACAAAAAATTCAGTCACATTTTTTAATGTTTATATAAATAAATTGAAAGAGACAAAAAAAAAATATAAGAGAATAAATAATATCACATCTCTTTTTCTCTCTTATTTAAAACAAGAAGAAATAAGGAGGAATGTAGAAAAATAACATGTTGAAAACAATGCAATTTCATTGCTACCATTTTAATTATCATAGGGATTTTGGAATTTATTATTCTTCATTTCAGTAAAAAAGCAATAAAATGAAAACAAAATAGGAAACATAAAATAACCTCATTTTATAGCACCATTTGGTAGTTTTATGTACATATATACATACTTTTCTATAATGTATAAAAATATTATATAATTTTCATTTTTATATAATCAACTAAGGAACACAAACTGTACTAGTATTGTTTTTTAAAATATTGCAGAAATATTAAAGTTTTTTTTATAACAATTTTGTTTTGTATTTTAGAAAACACGCTTTTAAAGATTTCAATTTGAAAAAAAAGGAAAGGTTTATGTACCTATTTTATCTATATAAAAATAATATTTACAGTTATACACTAATTTTGTTGTTCGAAAAATATTATGGTACGTATTCCTAACGGTAAATGTATACAATATTAAAAACCTAAATAATAATTATTATTTACACAATATTTTATTTTCATTTATAATAAATTATGTTAAACAATATTTTTCACAATAATTTCATTTAAATTATAATTTTATCCTCAAGCGAATATTATTCTCTATTATATTATAATTAAAATAGATTTTGCAACTACGCTAATGAATATTGTATAGCTTTTGTAAATTTAGAACAAATTTTCATTCAAGTATTATTCTAATTTATTATTGTTAATAATAAATTTAAAATATTTAAAATATTTTAATGAAACTTCAAAAATATTATTAATAAAATTTAAAGATTTTCAGTTTCAAAAATATTTACAAAAGATTTATTGATATAATAATAATCATGATACTCGTAGTATAATAAAATTTTTAAATTTTCATATAACAGATATATTTATACAGTGCCTTTCATTATTATTTAAATGCAGTGTATTTATTTATTTAGAGAAAATGAAATCAAAAATACGAGTTTGTGAAAGAGAACCGGGATTTTCTGTTTCGACATTCGAAGCCATGATATGTAGTTATTTGGAATTTTACGATGTTAGAAACTTTAATAATATGCTTATGTTCTTAAACTTTATTACTTATTTTGAAGGCGAAAATTTAAAATGTTTTCTTTAATATTTTTATTTATTATATAACTGCTATAGAGTTCTAGATTGTACAATAAATTTTGATAAGTTTAAATTGTCAAATTAATCGTGTATCTTACTTTTTCATCTCACTTTTTATTCACTTTCAAATTAGAATTCTACGTTTTTCTAAGGGATTTTACATTTTTTTCCAAATAAGATTACTCATTTCTTCAATTGGATTTTTAAAATCCAATTTTAGAAATAAATTGAATAAATTTTGTTAAACATTTTAGAAAATGATGAACGAAGCTACGACAACCAATAATTAAAAGAATTTTTCGATATAAATAATTTATTTTGCTTGTTCATAACCCCTGAGATCCGTATTGTAATAATACTGCATTAATGCAGAATTCAGCTTACAAAAACCAATTAATGAATTACGTATCGATACGGAATTATCAAAATTCCGATGTTAGGGAATATTTTAAATTCAAAAAATTTTAAAAAATTGTAATTGTTACATTATCTCAACGCTTTTAAAATTTATAAAAATACCTTTTGTGTTGCTAATAATTCAGTATTATCCATCCACCATGTAATTTTTGCTGGAGGACGTGAACCAATTGCTTGACATTCAATTTCATATTTTCTATCAGCTGACATCGGTTGATTATTAAATGATATTTCAACTTGTAATGGTCTTACTGTAATAATATAAATAATTAAAGTAAAAATATTCAAAAAAAAAAAAAAATAAAAAGAGCAATCTAATTTAAGTTTAAAAATAATTAAGAACAAATTTCTTATTGCCGCGTTTTTTGCCCTATAGATATGAATTTTTATATTCTTGTTTCGTCGAGAATGAAAGACTATAATCTTAAATTAATTTTTATTAAAAAATGAAAATTAAAAATCGAAAACTTTTAATTAGAGTTTACAACCTTTTTAGTATGGCGAATTCTAGAAGGTATATTTCATTATTAACATTTGACTCCGCCATTAAAAATCCACATCCCGGCGTTAATATATAAAAAATTAATTTAGTTATCAGGCTTCAATAATATTATAGGAACCACTAACTAACGCACCAATTATTGTTTGGCCTATAAAAACATAGTTTTTGATATGGTTTATATTTTAAGAATAATGAAAATATTTCGTTTAACATCATATTTTAATAATTAATTTTTACTCACAAACTGCAGGGGACATACTATATGATGTAAATTATATTTAAACACATATAAATTTGTGAGTTTTATAAAATAGTATTTGTCTATTTATAGAATAAAATTATTTTATAAATGTGTAAGTATCTATTTTTCAATAGAAAAATATTAGCTTGAAAAACTGCTTTAATAATAATAATAAGTTGTTTTTTGTTAAGAAAATCCTCATTGTACGCTGTTCTACTAATATATAACTTCAAACTTATTATACAAGTTCCACACTTAAACATAATCTAAAAATTTGGAAACAATATACTTTTTAGGTTTTGCGAATGGAGAACATTTTACAAAATCTTAGAAAGCGATTTTGTTTGAAGACAACTTGGGGACTTAGTTATATTGGCAGATATATGAAGTACCACAAGGAAACTCCCTTGTAGTACTAAGTGAAACCTATGAACAATACAAAATTTTTTTGGAAATCATTAACAAGGAATCGGGATCTAGAAGACATTATTTTCAAAAGAATTTTTTTAGCTAGTGAAGACAGTAAATTTATTATTTAATTATAGAGTTTTCCGTGCCTTTTAATTAATTTAAATAAATTTAATTCCGAAATTAAAATTTTGAACTTATTATAGAAAATAAAATTTACAACTACATTAAAAATTTAGTGGATTTTAAAAAAATTGTCATTACTTGTACAAGCGAATTATTTTGCATGTTATTATAGAAATAATTAATAATAGTTCGGGATATTTATGTTACATAACTTCGATTTTCATAAATGTGATTTCATTCTAGAGATTTTAAATCAGCAGATATAACCTACAACAAAAATAACGTAATAATATCTGATAAGAATTTCGGTTTTTATATTGTCGGTAAAATATTAAAATTAATGTAAAACTGGCAATTTACTAATATTATTGTTATTTTATTATTTAATTGAAATAAAAATATAAAATCAATATTTGGACCATAATATAAATTTAAATCAAAAAATATATTCTATCTATGTATATTTATATGTATAATAATATATATGTAAGTGCTTATAGCGTAAATTTGGTGTCAATTATAATTATTTGAAAATAAAACTTACAATATAATTCAATAGTAACATTTGCTGCCATTGTTTTCTTTGGAAAATTACTAGCCTCACATTTAAAAACGGCATGTTGATGTATTCGTGATAAATTTCTCACAATCAATTTACTGTTAATTGCTTGAGGATTTGAAAAGTCTATAGTACTTGGCAATACATGACCATTCATTGACCACGTAACTGACGGAGGTGGATTACCTGTAATGAATAAAAATAAAAAAATTTTCAAATGTAAAAATAAATATTTTTTTTCTGAAAATGGTAATTTTGTCTCTTTAGGTTTATATAAGCGTTTAATAATAAATAAAATTATAAGTAGTTCTGGAGGTAATATGTTTTTCTATAAAATTTTTAATAAATCAATTTTTTTTTAATTGTATTTTCCAAGGACTTCAATTGTATTTTGAAGGTTTATTTAACAAAAGTATAATAAAAACTAAATTCAGATACGAAAGATACGCATAATAAAGTTGGGTCAAACCAATGGTTTGTATTGTAGCACTTTTCCCTTCAGCAAGTGAAAATTCTGCTTTTAAATACAGTCTATGTATACCTATCACACATTCTAAAAATTATTTTTATTCATATACAAAACTTTTTCTAGGATTGCATATATTTAGGATCAACGATTTATGCAGTCTTTGAAATAAAGCAAAAATTAATATAAAGTGGGGTTAACATAATGCTCGATTTTAAGGTTTAATTATGTGAGTTAAGAAAAATAATTATATTTTTTAATGTCATGGAATTTACCGTTAGCTTTTTGTGTTTATAGAAATTTGAAAAAGCTTGCGGTTTCGGAAATATAAGGTGTCAAAAATTCAAATTTTACAAATTTCAAGAGGCAATAACTTGAGAGGGGAAGGAGATGGAAAAAAATTTTCTTCCAACGAAATGAACTATTTGTTAATGTCTAAAAGCCCATAAATTTCAAGCTTCTACAGGTTGGGGTCTAGAAAATAAACGACATCAAAAATTTGGAAAAAACGGACTTTAGATAACGGTAAATTTGAGCGGCCATTTTGTTTTTCTAAAGTTAACCTTTAGTATACCCCGCTAGGGGAAGCAAGCCACTGCCTTTCTGCGTTTGCAAAATTTGAAAAATCCTTATGGTTTCATTGCACTAAATAGTTAAAGAATGGCATTTTTAGGGTTTCGGGGGGGTATAATTTCTAAAGGGGGGGAGATAGATAAAAATTTTGTTCTACAAAAATAAGTTTCTAGTAAAACTCTATGTACGTACAAAATTTCAGCTTTTTCTCTTCAAGGGTGTAGAAGTTTTGTAAACAGACACACGGACAGACGGACGGACGGACGGACGGACGGATGGACGGACGGACGGACGGACGGACGGACGGACGGACGGACGGACAGAGTGAAACTAGTAAGCACTTTTTTTCAAAAATTTTTTGGAAAAGTGCTAAAAAATTGTATAAAATGTGATTTATAAGAAAGTCTCAAGTGAACAATCATCCACATTGCATATTTTCGGATTAAAAATAGTTACAGAAATTTAAAGAAGTAGAGCTGGAATATATTCAATTTTATTGGAGTGCATCTTAGTCATAATTCAAGAACAGGTTGAGCTAGGCTTATAAAATTTTTACGATTTAGGGTAATTTCGATACAAAATAATAATTATTACTCGCACAAGATTAAAAATGCTTTACTCGTATTGTGGAGGCCATAAATTATAAAGTTTTATTTTACTACTGCATAAAGTAATAACTGTCGCAGTATTATTAAATCGACAATGGTAAAATTAATTTTATATATTATCTCTCATTGTAGGCTGTTGATTGTTAGTTGGAGTGATAATGTAACGCGAATTTAAAAGATTTTCGAGATGCACGCGTTCAATGAATCCGAAAAGCTTTTGCAAGGGCAATGTCACGAAACAACTCACTTACAAGCGATGTTCCACCCAAAAATTTCCTTTTATTATGGATCAACACTCCACATTTCCTGAAATGGTAGAACGGTGTCTCCTTTTCTTTGCCACAGACTCTACCAGACCCGTAGGTTCTTAAACTGGAACGTTCCTTGAACCTGCAATGTCCAATCAAGAAATCTGTGAACATTTTCAGATAGTGTTTCGACATTCTTATAACAGTTTTAAAACGTTTTCGGTTGCGATTTTCCACTAGCTCTTTTGCTTTAGAACTAATTTTTGGTCAACTTCAATTTCCTTATCATAAAGAAAAGCCAACAAAACACTCTTGCGCGTCTACATGATTCGGTACAAATTATTTTTCCAAAAATATCATATGCTATTTTATTTCATTGAGAAAATAAACTAAATTATTTTCCAAATTTTAGGTCATTATTCTAAACAGAACCTACAACACTAATATTATAATATTAGACTCTTTTAAACAAAGCCTTAGATTGATATATATCTCTTATATCTATTAGTGTCGCACGGGTTGCCTAGATTTGAGGCATAATATCAGTTAATAGCAGGTAATAGACATTAACATTCTAATTATTTATACTGCTATTATGTATTTTATGTGTATTAAGATTAGACACGAAATGTGTTAATATTCAGGCTAATTGTAGCATTTATTTTGATTATCTTACATGATATATATTATTGTCTATTTGATATATTATATGTAGGCACAATATTAAATTACTCTTATCTCTACAATATAATATTTAATAATTCATAATATAAAAGTATATAATAATGTAGAGCGACATGCATATACATACATAATAAAATTGAAATACTAATATTGTAATACATAACATGAAAAAAATAATTTATTTTTGTTTTTGTTATAAATAATGTAATATAGTATTTGTAAGTATGTCTACATAATAAATAAAAGAATAATAATTAATGTAAATCATAAAAATGTTAAAATAAAAGACAAATTTCCTTGTGATTATGCTTTAAGCTTAACATTTTCATGCCACATTTTAGTAATGTGTGCTACAAGTAACTATGTGTTTATGTATAATATTATTTTTTTGTTTTTTTTTACTTCTTGTTATTTTTCTATGTACATTTTCCTATTTTAATTTGATAATTTTTAATTTGATTAAGTGTACAGAATTACACTTTATTTGTTTAACCAAAATTTTGGACACCAAACAAAAGATTGAAAAACAAGAATATTTGAAAAAAAACGAGAAAAAAATAGAGTTGACCTTGTCAACTCTGCGATACCCGTACGAATTTGTTATCCTATGTGCGATTAACTAATGTGTCATAACTAACTATGGGGCAGACTATGACTTTAAGGTGCCGTATTAACATGTTAATTTATGCAAAATTTCAGTACTATGTGTTTTTGAAAATACTGGTTGTGCCAAAGTACTATTGAAGTTGTATGGCAGCTACCAGAAAGAGCCAAGAAATTTTAGCAAATTTTTTCAAGCACATCGGCCCTACTAATATTTTCGCTTGTGTGAAATTTCAATATCACATCTTTTATAGTTTCTGAGATATAGCTAAATAACTTTTGAAGTTGTATGGCTGGTACCAGAAGGAGCTAAGTAATTTCAACGACTTTTATGAGACACATTGGCCCTACTAATATATTCGTTTAACATACGTTCGTACGTGTATAAAAATATAATTTAAATTTACTTCATCCCATTATTATATAGATGAATAAAGAATATACTGGGGTATTTGACAAAGATTTTACTGCAATAATAATTATTGATATATTACTTAAAATCTTCTAAATAATTTTAGTTTTCGATGAATGCAATGAAGTTTTTATCACACTTAACAAAATTTTATGCAATTATTAAAGTTGCTCATTAACAAATTGGCTTGTAATTTTAATGTCATTATAAAAATTATAGCGAACAAATTCTGGTAAGAGAAGATTTAACTCAGCTGAAACAGCAAAGATAAAATAATCTTAAATAAATCAACTTATATTTGTGTAAAAGTACTAACATTTCAGACGATCTTAACCAAAAGAATTATATACTCTACATTTTAAAAATGTGACCGTAAAAATTAATTTTTAAATTAATTTGAAATGGGCAAAGCCATTTCACATCAAAAACCTTAAGGACATACCTGAGCTATAATTCTGAACATAAGGCTTGAGTCTGAATCTTCTTGAGTTGTGTCTTAATTTAAGCAGGCTTTTATGCTGAGCGAGATAATATGGTGCAAGGTATAATTTAACCTTTTCTTTTAAACCAAACAACTTTATTTTATTTATTTCTTATAATGGTATATCGTTTTATTGCATACTTTTCGGGGAACGAACATTACAAAGAAAATTAATTTGATCATTCTTCATCTTTCTTAAATCATTCTTCTTAAATCTTTGATCATCTTCATTTGCTGCTTAAATTAAGACACGTACAAATTTTCAAAAAATTTTTGTTTTTTTTTCTTAAAATGTTAAAATAAATTTAATGAAACTAAAAACCAGTTGGAACTTGTTTGTCATTGATTACTATCTGTCAGACTTCTATATAAAAACTTAATAGTAATTTGATATACTGACTTGAATATTAAATATCGATTTTAGGAAAAATTTTTCATTTATATATAAAATAAAAATCACTTTTTAATGTATTCATTAAAGTATAATTGTATTAAATTAAAAAATAAGTAAGAAATTACTGGAAAAAAATAATATCGAATTGCTAAAGAATCTACAGTTTTCACATTGAGGCAATTAAACAATTTGCGATATAATTTACGATACAGAACAAATTTCTGTGTTTTCTAGGAAAACTTATTACAAGAATTATTTGCGTTGTTTCAATTAATATAACTTGAATAACATATAAAAAATTTTATATTTTTTTTTAAGAAAAGTTGGAATACAATAACGTGTTATTTACTCATATTTCATAAAAATTGGATCTTGTATTTTCTGCGCTTTTAAGCAAATATTTTCATGCTGATGAAGTAGTAAACAATATACTTGATTTCTAGTTAAAATAAATTATAGATAATTTTAATAAATTATTCTTCAAAGTTATTGAAATTTCATGTTTAAATTGAAAATTGTTATAGTATGAGAAAATTGTTTAACAGGAAAATGAAAATTTTATTTCCATACTAAAAATTTATACTGGAAATTTAAAATTTATTCAATATGTACCAAATTCTGATTTAATGATGGAGTTCTCTGAAACACAAAACTGCAGAGAAAAGTCATACAATACTAAAAAGCTAGAGCAAACTTGAATAATAGTTTGTTACAGTT